TTAGATCGTGTGAAAATAGCTGAGGGAAATTTACAACAAATCATCAACTACTAAAATCGTGTCCCGATTTTAACTAAGAAAAACATAAAGCGAAGTAATGGCAAACTCGATTCTTTTCCCATGATTCAGTGATAATTTTGCAGCATCCTATTATATTTATCCATTATATTTGAGAATTATGATACATTATTTTTTCGATGGGAATATTACGACTCTATTCATAGTGAACTACCGAGAAATAATATTCGACGTATCATTCGTGTAACTGGATATCAATAAAAATTGATGGCTCGGCTTTTTTTTATACACAACAAAAAAAAAGAAAAAATGTGTGGTCTAAATTTTATTTATAATACACAAAAAAAATGCATAAAAATAGCATACCATATATGAGATGGTTATAAATATATCAAATCACCCAAATTGGGTGACCCAATAACAAAATGCCTTAATTTTATTATTATTGAACGAATCGTTTTTAACTAATTTAAAATAAAATAACACGATTTTTAATGAATAGTTTTGATACAAAAACAATACCATACACGTCATATACAGTCAGAAATGTAGCTAGAATTAATTTGTTTTCCAGGAGCGGCATAAGTTATTAATGAATAATGCCACATTTATTTTTTAACAAAACAATCTTCTGAGGACACGTTTTGCAACTCTCCAATCATGCTATTTATATTTTTGACGCAGTAAGCGAAAAAGGACCTTTTATCGACAAAGTTATTTTTAAAAAAACCGCCAAAAGATCTTCTTCTTCATCTTCGCCTCAAACTCCCATCAATATGTGGTCGACCACTCGTTTAATCACCCCAGCTATCTTCATAACACTCACTATTCCGTCTGTCTTTTCTTCGGTCTTTCTCTTCGTCTCACTCTCACTGCCTCTGGGCTCTGCCTCATCTCTCCTCATCACATGACCAAACCATTTTAACCTCTTCTCTCTCTCTCTCTCATTTTCTCCACAATTGATGCAATTCCTAGACTCCCCCTTACGAATTAATTTCTTATTCTATCCTTCCTAGTCACTCCACTCATCCAGCTTAGCATTCTCATCTCCGCTACACTCATTGTTTGTTCAGTTTTCTCGTCTACTGTCCAACATTCCCTGAAATTTGTATGTCATTTTTGCACATAATGGTAATTTATACAAAAAAAAAACCCAAATCCCAGTATCAAGTTGTTTAAATTATATCTATTCAGTACTTCAAGCTAATTAGAAATTATTAATTATATTTACTCAATTTTTATTTTTATTTAAAATTGTACGGTATAAATAACGGCGCTCTATAACTTACAAAAAATAGTTAAATTAGTTCCATAGTACTACTAATAAACGTTTACAAACCAAAATAATAATGTAAGCCCTTTATTTTAAAAGAGATAGAAACTTTTTCTTTGCTTCTCATTCTCTACCAAAGTTTAAGGCGTTTAGGTCTAAAAATTATAATTTATACTGAAGGTAAATGTAGTGTGAGGCTGTAATATATACAAAATTGGTTTTTACAAAGGGTGGAAACTTTTTTTAATTTAGCTTTTTAGGTGAAGTTTTAGGAAATAAGGAGTGAAAAATTAAACCGGAGGTATATCTACTACGGTGCTATAACATACAAAATGTTTTCGAAAACCTGTAGTCAAACTATTTTTTTATTATGAAAAATTAAAAAAAAAATGGGGGACATTACTCTTAGATCGTTAACAGTTAACAGTTAACAGGTATATTATGTTATATTTGAATATTTGTTAATAACAACGTAAATAAATTATTAGAGCCAGATGATCCACCCTAATCGTATCCACCCTAATATTATAAAAATACATTTTTAGCGCATTATATACATTTTTACAATGTTTATATCGGTATTCGTCATCGAAGCGTTTGTTTGAAAGTGATTTTATCACTTCCAGTTGTAATAATTCATAAATCGATTTGTGACATTCCCGTCTTAATATGCGCTCTGTCCTCACTATGCCCCAACCCCACTGTACTAGCTTTTTTTTCTTGTTAAAATCTTAAGGTCAGCTATATCTTTTCTATCTTTTATTTTAGTTCCATTAAAATGATATCCACGCCATTTTAATTCAAATCACTGATTCAATATTTTTGTTACTTAGCTAATAGAGAACTATGATAGGAATTTTAAGTGCTTTAGGGCACGTGATCTCGTCGTTCTATTCCGTTGAAATTTACCTAAATAATAAAGAAATTGAGGTGGTCTCCGTCACGAAAAAAGTTAAAATAAGGACCATCCTAATAGTATACGTTGTACACCGTATAAACTGATAAATTTATAACTAATATTTTTATCACTAATACAACGAAATTTTTTTTTTAATCACTATTAATAATATAACTTATAAATGAAACTGTTGGTCATATAGTTAGAAATTAAATTGATCTTTTCACTGACTAGAAATATATTTGTTAAAATATTTAAATAAATATTGTTAAAAAATACCGTTGAAAATCGAATAAGTAATTTTATTAATTATTATTAAAAATAAAAAATTCTATATTTAAAAATAATTAGTTTTCAAAGTTTAAAAATAATATATCATGAAACGTTTTTAAGTTACAAATCAAATAAATGAATCAATAGTATTACCTATTGGTTATTTCTGAATAAAATATATAATCATATAAAACTAGACTCGCAACTTAAATTATTACATTGTCTTATGAACTTAGATAGCTGCGATAACCTTGTGGTTACCTCATGCACCTTATACTAATAGATTAAGTATGCATGTAGTAACAGTGAGCCGACGTGAGAGTGTTGTTCTTCAGACAGATGATCTACGCAGATGCGCATTCGATTAGCGACTTCCCAGTTTGGTAACATGTATAATATCGTCGTTGCCACGAAAAAACCTCCCATCAGTGGCGTAATTTGGTCATGTTTGTGGGGGGGGGGGGGGGTAAAATATAAATTGCATACATTTTACTCATCACCCCTCCCTTCCTCCAATTTTTTTGGTACCCTTAGATACAGAAAAAAATAAGCTATGTTTAGATGAACATTTTTTTTAAATCGCTATCAAGCGTGCTGTGATAGCCCGAAAAATAAGTTAACTACAAAAAATGGAGTGCTAATTGGAAATTAGTAATTACTAAACTAATAATTACACATCACGTTATAATCTTTAAATTAAGATTTTGCAAAAAATTGCCTATACCTAATTTCTTAATAAATAGGGGGGGTAGTATAACGTCCTCTTAATCCTAACGACAACACCCATAGAGTTGTTATAAAATTATTATTAGACGCGGGCACTAGACATTAATAATTAACGTTATGCTAAAAGAGGTTCATTAATAATTTACCGAAACTATAAAAGGCGTAATATTAGACTTTTCGGATAATTCAAATCGATGTATTTCCGGTATAATTGTTGAATACCGTTCTATTATTAGTAGTATAGGTATATCATGTATTATTTATGACTGTGTGTCTTTTGTTGTTTTGTGTAGTATACAGTAGTGACACATTGCACTGGAAATGTGTGAGCAGTTTTACTTTTAAAATTGGAAAAAATTTGATCAATCTAGTAACGATGTCGTTAATTTTCTCTATCAAACGGTGTACAGTTGATCACCAATACAGATGTATATATATATATATATATATAATAAACTAGATTGCCAACTAGTGATAAGAATGGAAGTCGACGTCGGCCATTTTTGTGAGATTTATGTGTGTATAAAAATAATATATATTATATATCTGTGATTTTGTGCCTAGGTATCAGCTTAACTCTTTAATTAATATAAGCAGTGATAACCGTTATGAGCATGTTATATGGTTCTAATTCTGACAAAGATGGCGGGAAATAATAACTTCAATTATCTCTTTTGGCGACATGTTACACTTCGCCGTATAGTTTATTATATGTGATCACGAATTACTCAAAAAGATATCAGTGGGCGTTAATGACAATGTCCCCTAGATATCGGCGGTGGCGGTTGCATGATCGATCGATACACCAGCGAGTCCGATCAGTGGCGGTTGCCTTCGTTAATCCATCGACATACTACAGCGTCGGCCGTCGCCTCTGATGGCAAGTCGCTTGTTGCCGTTGCCCCGCCGTCACTGTTATGTCCGGATGAGGTCAACGTTCTGTAATATTTTTTCGCCGACGTCTGCGTCTGGGCCGGCGGTCGGCGCGGCGTGCCATCAGCCATGTATACAACAGCCACACATGACACACCATACCCGTCGCTCGCCGTACTACTATGGAAGATAACGAAGAATAATAATAATAACGCGGTATGCGCCCGTAAGCATGATAGGAAGTTAGTCTTTAGAAGTTCACGCTCTGTTGAGTAAAACAACTTTTTACATGAGAAAAAGGTGTCTTAGCTCGTTTTCTTGAGCGGAAAGACAATGGAAGTTGCACAAGTAATAAAAGTAATATTCTGGCGTTAATAAGTATAATATTACATTTAAAGTCTTATTGTTTATTATTTATGGGTGTATAATATTATAATATATACACATATTATACGGTATAAGAAATAATCTATAAAAAAACGTGCAAAGAAAAGCCGTGTTCGCAAAAGTGTCGAGCGAGCAGAGCGGCTGTAATAATAATAATAATAATAATGTGACACTAACATTTTCGGTGTTTTGGCGACTAGACAGTTGCGCGCGCACACGCGATGCCGCCGCCGCCGCTCTAGTCTGGTCTCGACGTCTGCCAACGTCGCCGCCGTCGCCACCACCACCACTACTGCCACTGCCTTCACCGCCACCACCACCACCGCCACTACCACCGCCACCGCCACTGCCGCCGCCGCCGCCGCCGCCACCAACGCCGTCGCTACCGTTCCACCCGACAATATATCTATGTAGTATATACGTCTGTATGGGTGTCCCGCCCCGCTCGCCCATCGTTACCGCACCACCGTTCCCACTCTATTTTTCGATGCGTGTGCGTCGTCGCCGCCGTCTGCGTGTCCGACCACCGCTGTCGGTCGGGTCGCCGGTTGGGGCCAGCAGCACTATTACGTTCGACGCGGTCACGGCAGCACTATCGTTATTAGTGTAGCGTTCGGGAGCGCGCTCGCGTGTGTGTGTGTGTGTTTGTATGTTTTTCTATAATTGTTTGTCCCTGCCGTCAGTGCGCGAGTGTTATATATCACATTTTTTACTAATATAACTATTATTATTAACTACGTTCCGACGTACCGTGATTCGCGATTATCTCATTATAGTGCGAATCATTTACTAGTATGCTAGTGCGGCGATCCGCCGTTACGTCGCGGTGTTATCGTTGGTCGTGTGTATCGCTGCCCGACCCGAATTGGGATGCCCAGGGCGGGCACGCGATGTGAGTAACTAGGGCTCGCGCAGAAATTTGTGCGAATTTCGACACACTTTGGCGGAGGTAGTGGTCGCTACGGTGCTTTGCGCGTTATAACATTTAAACGGTCGAAAATGGAAGGTGACAACCGGCAGCAGCAGCAGCAGCAGGTGAATAATCCGCACATCAAGAAGGTGCTCAAGACCTATCAGTTGAGCGCTCCCAGGAGTTTGCAAGGCCCGAACCTAGTGTTGGACGAAACGTCGGCCACCGCGGTAGCCGTAAGTTCTCCGAAGACGGACGCCGATGCTGGCAAACGCAACAAGACGCCTCCGCCGCCTCCACTGCATCCCGTGCTGTACGTGCCCGACCAGTCGGGCTGCGAACTGTTCGAGACCGAATTGGAATGGGAAAAGATCGCTTGCTTCATGGTCGGCGGCGAGATGAGGCTGTGCCTGCCGCAGATACTCAACACGGTGCTGCGCGAATTCACGTTGACCCAAATCAATCAGGTGTGCGACGAGCTGCGCATTTATTGTTCTCGATGCACCGTCGAGCAGCTGGACGTTCTTAAGCAGTGTAACATACTGCCAGCGACGGCGCCGTCTTGCGGCCTCATGACCAAGACAAACGCCGAGCGACTGTGCTTCGCGTTGCTGCACCGCGTCCCTCCCCCGCCGGCTCAGATACCGGAGGACGTGGTCACGTTTTCGTTCGAAGTGTTCCACGACGTGTTCGGCAAAACCCGTGGCGTCTGCATGCCGGAACTGTATACCGAAAAGTTCAGCGCATGTATCCAGTGCATCGAGTGCAAAGCATTGTTCGCACCGCAGCAGTTTGTCAACCACATACACAGGTTCAAGGGCACCAACTCCTGTCATTGGGGTTACAAGCGAGAAAACTGGAAAGCGTACATCAAGGTGTCGCACGGACACCCGGATTACTCGGAAGTGGTCAAGTTGTTCGAGACTTTCAAGGAACACATTGAGGATTCTCCCGCCGCGGTATTTTCTTCCCGCAAACGCAAACAGGTCAGTACACAATTATTGGACTTCTATTGTAATATTATGTCCATATGGACTTTCAACGCGAAAAACTAGAAAAAAAATAATCTTTTTTTCTGAAATACCCAACTTGAAGGAAAGAACATGTGTATTTATTTTAAGTAATACATTCTAGACGGCTACACGTTCATTATTATTTATGTAGATTGCACATGCGCCGAAGCCCGAGAACGGCGTGTCCTCGCGTCTACTACGTTTTCACCGCCTATGATTATAAATAATAATATCATCATCAAAATATTATTATGAAACTAATGCGGCCCGTTTATTTTTGTTCAGGACCCCATTCACACGTTAAAATCATTCCGTTTCGATAGCGGTAGACACGCCTATGGCACGGTCTCGTTAATTTACCGAACCACCGTCTCATATCGCGTTTTACAATAATAATATTTCAATGGCGCTGTAACATAACATTATTTTTAAAGGAGACGCTCGTCGAAATCGGTTTATCGGCTTGTTTTTGCCTAGTTTAACGGTCGGCCCGATGCGATAACGCGTTTAGTAGATCAGCGACGACGGTCGTGTTTGTTATCTCTATTTTAACATAGCCCGACCTAACCCTCTCGCATTTCTTAAACCATAACGATGTTAGCACAGAATTGTACACTGCCGCGTTCAGCTCGAAAGACTTATTTATCAATCGGCGTATGTTTGGATTCGGGCTCGTCTGTATTCTGAAATTAGGACTCCGGGTAATGGATAAAAAGCTCATTCGAATTGCAGATTTACACTGCGTGTGTACTGTATGGAAATTGGTGTTTCGTATACACCCGCGTCTATGTATTTATTTGTTTGTTTTTTTCTACACCGCGTGTGCGTTCTTGATATCGGGAAGTTGCCGTTTAGACGGGAAAACTAGGGAAACGTTACATGTGTTGAAAAGACCATTTTGACGTTGTAGTTATTGCAAACAAAACAATGTATTGATATTTTATTTAAAAAAAAAACCCCGACGAGAGCAGCTTGAACACGCGCGCGGGTAGGGGACGTACGTGTCTATAGCCACTGTGAAAATTCACAATAATAAAAAACTAATAATTGGTGTGGCTCTCCCGCAAAACTATATGTTCGCCAGCGTATTGAATAAAATAAAATAAGAAGACTAATGTAGATTTAAAAAAAAAACAACACTGCTCAAACGTGGGGTATAGTAGTGAACTCTCAATAAAATAAACCACAAATTCCGTTTTGAAGTCATTAAGAGTCCCTCGACCGTTTTGCCTTTGGTAATTCGTTACCAGTTAATCGATCAGCACTAGAGGTGGTTCGTCGGGTTCGACAAAAAGGGGAAGGGATATGTTTTTGAAACCGTGTAATTTAGGTGCTTAAAATTAAAAATAATATTTTCCATTGGACTTTTCTGTTCTCGAGGTAATTCGACTAAACGTTCAGAAAAACAAAACGTTAACTTTCTGGCATTATAGTTATTGATGCAATGCTGTTGAACATTCCTTGTCTTCGGGTCTTCTCTTTTAAAATACGGTACCGACGAAACGACATCCAGCTATATAACATTGTCTCGGGCCGCCAATGATAAGTTAACATTTTTCTATTGTATTAAAACGTGATGTCCGCTCGTAAATTACAAATAGGACACCGTACGTGTGGTCATTAATGAATTATAAATAATTGTGTTTAATCGTTATGCTAAAACCGAATCGATCAGTTTGGCGCGACGAAGGACAGTGTATAGGCCGAAGACAGCGCACGCCTATTACTACAATAATAATTATAATAATATATATTTATAAATAAAGGCGGCGGCGGCGGCGGCGGGTTCTCGACCATCTTCTGTCTGGTGCATCGGTTTGATAAACATAAAAACAAGTGCATGCACCGCGCGCATTATATCTCTTCTTTAACCGCAGCTACGACGAAGACGTAATAAATAAAATATTATAATAGCAACAACGATGATGATGATGATGATGATAATAATAATAATAATAATAATAATAATAACATCATCATAATAATGCGGTCGGCCAGACGACTAGTGTTGTCGAGGTCACACGGAGACAACGCCGCCGGAGCAGCCGCAATTACACAAACAAAGGATTTGCGTGCGCGCGTGCATATCTGTGCGTCTGTGTGCATCGCTCTCGTCAAGGACACCCGCACCGGTCGCCCTATGGTGTTGTTCTGCCGGCCGCCGCCGGCCGCCGTTACCGGTGCAACGCCGAACGCGCGACTAGACGAGGCGCGTCCCGTGTCATAACAACTACCAAGACGGCAGCTATCGGTAATGGCTCGTTGGATAAAAAAAAATAGCCTCCGTACACGCCGCCGACCGGTAGAAAATGGATAATGGCAATCCGCAATATTAGCTGTATATACAATGTAATTGTTGTCCCTCGAACGCGGTAGCCGAGAGCCGGCCGTGTACCGAGATGAAAACTTTAAAGGAGTTTGGTAGTATTTTCACGCATTGTGTATGTTTACCGGGTTCAACGAGGAAGGAGGGCGTTGGTTGGCAAACGCTTGCGGCGGCGGCGGCATAAAGTATTATGTAAAAATAAACGATGCACGGCCGGGCGTGCGTTAGATTTGTTGCCAATAATATGCGCTATCGGAATGTGTTCGGTTTCACTGCACGTATGGACGTGGTCGATAGAGGCCGGAGTGGACACAAACGACGAAGTAACGTCTTAAAAGGTCTGCAGTAACGGTTCGCCGTTTTGTTTACAGAACAGCAGTAGTTTCTTCCATCTCGGCGGTTAGGTCCGGTCGACAACATCGGAGTATTCCTCGGTCCTGCGGAGTATTTTTTTCCGTTACCGATTAGCGTCGGTCTTCGATGAAAAAAGTGTATTCTATTATTAGAGAATTCTAATAATAGAATACACTTTTTAGACACGAATACGCGTTGGTTTTTTCAGTATTATCGGGAGTTCGACCGTTATTTCCTATTGTCATATAATTTTTCACCATCCAGCGACTAGAATACAACGTTTACATAAGACGCCAAGCTATTGGTCCCGGCTAAAAAATACCGTTCTACGGTAGAAAAATTTTCGCCGGTCTACGGAGAAATTTCATTATTGACTTGCTCCGTGACGTTAACTCGTACTACCCGATACCGTCATTATCAACGCGACGGCCAAAAATAGAATTAAATACGGTCGAGGCGTAGGCAGTATTGCTATTCGCGGCCGTACGTTCTCGGTATCTGCCTGGGCGTCCTTGCTCGACCGCGTGAGAAGCCTACCGTTTTGCGAGAGCTGCAGCCTCCGTCGCTGTCGTCCCCTACACCTTGCTCTGCTCGCTTCGGATCGTTGCAGTCGACTTACCAGACGCATCGTTCTGCGGTCGTGTCGGCTAACACTGTATGCCACAGTAGTTTTTTGTTTCATTGTCGTTACAATAATAATTAGTCTCATCGTTTATATAATTGAGGCGTCTAGTTTCAAAACCAGCTAAAAAACATTTTGAAAAAGGAGTTATATTTTAAGTACACATTATTAAAATGGTATGTAAAATTATTATTGGATATCGAATAAAGATTTTTACTAACTCAAACTGTGTTGGGGAAATCTTGGTTTTGAAATTAATGGAAAATTTTCAAAAACTGCTTTTAGCTGGTTTTAAAACTAGTCGTCTCGATTAAAAACGTGATGTTAAATGATAAATACGAAAAAAAATCAGTTAGGTATAAGGTTATACGCATTATGATTGTGACATTTTTTTAAGGCTAGTATCGAATGGACGTAAAGGGAATATTTGGAGAATGTAGGAACACAGAGATAATTACGTAACATAAGATAATGCAGGATACTTCAAGAGTACGTAACATATTATAAGAATATATATATATATATATAACGAACAAATGACTGGGTCAATGTGTGTTGTGGGAAGCGGAGAAATGTTTAAAAAAGAACGATATAAAATTTGTGTTATCGTCTCCATACAAATAACGACTGGTTGGCCCGTGCAAATACCTCGCAAATACCTAAATAAAAAATATGTACATTAGAAGAACAGTCGCCGTAGTTGTTGTCGTCGCCGCGGTTGAGATAAACGAGAAATAAAACAAAAACAACTGGCCCTGTGACGTCTGGCATTGTACTTCGCGCACCAACACTTCGATTTTTGAACGGATAATGCAATGTGCGTGTTTTGTAAATTGACGATTCGCCATAAGCGGGAACTTAATCTTCAAAAGGGATTTAAAAAAAAATAAAAACATTGAAATAATAACGATAGTGTGTACCAAAACGGCGTTATACTTCACACGGTGTGTGTGCCCGACGGAAAACTTTTGACCGTAACGGCGAGAAACTGCTCCGACTACGATAAAATAACCAGAGGCCCCCCAACCCCCCCCCCCCCCCAAAGATAACTTATGTTTTTTTTAGTTATTATATTACTGTTGTTATCGGTCTTGTGACAGGTTGATTGGGGCATTGTTACGCTGCGGGTCGTGTGTCGGTTGTTGTCGTTGCATTTTTGCGACCGACTGAATGAAAACCGCGTAGAAAACAAAGAGTATCGGCCCGCGGACCTCATCTCGTCGAGTGCTTGGTCGTGGCCGCTGCCGCGCGGTACAATGGAAACAGGAATCGTTGTAAAAATAATAACGCATAATAGGATTGAGACAAAGTGGTCGCGCGGGGGGGGGGGAGGGGGGACATAATACAGAACAGGTCTAACGAGCTCAGGTGAATGGCCACCGGGGGTGGGGGGGGGGAAATGATGGAAAAATATCCTTTTTAAGAGGTACGCCGACGCACTGGCTATCGTATTACTTACTGTTGTTCGTTTCGTGTGTTTTCGATAAGTATTTGTACTTTTTCCCCTTTCTTCCCTCACTCTCACACATTAAAAACACTATGGCCATCGTCTTCGTGGGTTTGTACGCGACCGCCGCGCCGGATAGGATTACTCTGGACATTATTATAATTATTCGAACGGGCGCTGTACGAATTGCTGCCTCCCTTTATTATCCTTATTTTCTAGTCGTG